CCGTTTTTCCTCGCTGTAGCGCTTCCCGCCCTGATGCATGTCGGTTTATGTTTCATTACAGCAAACAGCAGCTCGTGGCGTGATAAACCGTAGGGAGGTAGTGATCAATATTTCATTATTTTTGGAAATGCCAGGTGACGTGTTGACCTCTCTGAGGTCAAACATCCTTGTTGTTGTAGCAGAGTCATACTTCCTCAGCGTCTCTTGGAGACGCGCGTGTGTGTTTACAGAGAGAGGAACTGTTCCTATCTGCTGTTACTATCACACACACACACACACACACACACACACACACACACACACACACACTTGTCTGCACACAACGGTGACTTCAGCATGTCTCACGGGCTCTAGGCTGTTATGGCTCGTGTACGTTACTCATGCCTAAGGAAACTGCTCCTTCAACACTCCCCCGTCCAGCGCCCACTCTCCTGGGGGGTGCTGTTATCATGATGGCACGCAGCCCACCTGTAAACCAGAGTCGGGCGGGCGTCACGCCTTCTGAGCCAGCACTGAAGGCTGCACCACTTTATTTAACCAGCATTTTTAATAATATCAACAGATTTTTATCCGAACTCAAAACTTTCTCATCTGGTGAGGTTTTACTGGCTCCACTAGCCTCTTAGTCAGTGTAGAAACAATTAGAAACTCATTCACTTGTTTTTTCATGATCTCTGCAGTGGTCTCCTATGAATAAATACCTTCAGTATTTTTCTGTGGAAACAAAGCTCTGGCGCTCCTGGTTCAGGGGCTAAACACTGACAGGATGATGAGTCTTACTCATAAATATTCATTATATGTAGACATCTCTCTTCTGATTGGCTAACAGTAACGTCACTCATCTGCTGCCTTCATTTGTTCTTCATTCTTGGGTAAAAATGCAACGTTGATGTTTTTTGCTCATTAATCGACACAAGCCGGTGTCTGTGAAGGATCGGCTCGAGGTCCTTCGACTGCCGATGACGTCACATTACTGCAAATCTACTCGGCTTTCACACATACGTTTTGGAAAGACATCAGCAGTTTTGTTAATAAATTCTTGTTTGTTAACACCTAAATGTTTTCTTTATAATTGTAATTTGTTAATAAAACACCATATTATCTTTGTTTTGTAAAGAATGTGAAACTGCATAAAACCAACATCGGCCTGACAAAAAATAGAGCAGTTCTTATATGTGAAGCCACATCGGTTTGTATTAATGTGGAGTTCGTCTGTATATTTCCTTAGTTGTTATCTAAATACATTCTTTGACTCAAAATATTGCTTGGTGTCTTTCAATAACGTTCTTATATTTTATTTTGCCCCATTTCATCAACATCAAGAGCTTTTGAGTGTCACCGTTTATCATTTGCTCATATTTTACATTTCCTTTAGAAATTCAGATTTTCTCCAAAAAGTGTTGATTTTTGGACTACAACCGCTATGACTATGACTGCAAAGTTGTTCTGACCAATCAAAATCATAACGTGATAACTTCACTTCCGTAAGCTTCATGTTCAGCCAATCGACTACTTTGAAGTCATTGGCAGTCGACGGACCCTGAGCAGATCCTGTATCGACACCGGGACGCGTTCCGCCATGTTGTCATGTGCTGAATGCTAATGGTTAGCTTCTAATAGCAGACGTGCTCTGCTCTCTCCTTCCTGTGGGCGGTCCCAAGCCAATGTGGGTGGGGCCATAAAAGCCTGTTCTCCGTAGAAGTGACGGGCTGTTTCCGTTTTTCTGTTTTCAGCAGCCTCCGTTTGCAGAAATAGTGCACTGCTGCTCCAGTCTCCGGTTTCTGCATCACGGTTAGCTCAGCAGAAACCTGTAGATCTGCTGTATTTGATCCACAGCTGCATCCAAGTGAGACGGGAAGACCCAACTTGTTGTTTTTATGGAATGTGAAGGATTGAGCAGATGGCTTCCTGGTGAGAAGAGGCAGCAGCAGCAGAAACACGAGGTTTCTCGCTACATCCAGGAATGTGACTCTTGTTCATACTGGATCAGTGTCGTGTGCAGCTATGGGGGTAGAAACGTGGCCAATCAGGAGGAAGTAAAGAAGCTGGTTAACATTTAGTGACTTCCTGTATAAGTCAGAGAAACAACAAATGAGATGAAACCGCTCTAACACATGACAGTTTGTTTTCTCAACATTAATGAAGTATTTTTGCTAATTGTTTCATCTGTGCTGAAGGCAGGAAATCAGAGAGGAGCCGTTTCTGGGAGGACGCAGTCCTCCATCCCTGGAGCAAAGGCTCATGGGAAATTGTTCACTTTCTGTTTGTGGGATGAACATTGTCGGTGGTCTGCTCTGTGTTTTATTTGTTAAAGAGATGCTTTGGTCTGATTCTAAGTGTTTTTGTTTTATATAAGTTATTTATAGCTTTTACCTCTGCCTGAAAAGCCTCAGTTTGAGGAAGTGGAGTTTGACAGGACCGATGAGCTGCAGCCAAGCTGAGACCAACACGTACTGATGCCATGTTGAAATGGCTCCAATAGAAATGTATTTATTTTATTCATTATTTCATTTTAGAAACCTTTAGGTTATCGTCAGTTTTTGTATCACATTTATTTTGGATGAAAAAGACTGTGATGATGATGATGATGACGATGATGGTCACGATGATGATGATGATGGTCACGATGGTGGTGATGATGATGATGATGATGATGATGGTCATGGTGATGATGATGGTCACGATGGTGATGATGGTCACAATGATGATGATGATGGTCACGATGGTGGTGATGATGATGATGGTCACGATGGTGATGATGGTCACGATGGTGATGATGATGATGATGGTCATGGTGATGATGATGATGATGATGGTGGTCATGGTGATGATGATGATGGTCACGATGGTGATGATGGTCACAATGGTGATGATGATGATGATGGTCATGGTGATGAGATGGTCACGATGGTGATGATGATGATGATGATGGTCATGGTGATGATGATGGTCACAATGGTGATGATGATGATGATGGTCATGGTGATGATGATGGTCACGATGGTGATGATGTTCACGATGGTGATGATGGTCACGATGATGATGGTCATGATGATGATGGTGATGGTCACGATGGTGATGATGATGATGATAATGGTTGCGATGGTGGTGATGGTCATGATGTTTATGTCATGATGACGATGGTGATGATGATGATGGTCATAAACTTTAACTAAATGAAGCTGTGTGTGTGTGTGTGTGTGTGTGTGTGTGTGTGTGTGTGTGTGTGTGTGTGTGTGTGTGTGTGTGTGTGTGTGTGTGTGTGTGTGTGTGTGTGTGTGTGTGTGTGTGTGTGTGTGTGTGTGTGTTCAGCTGACATCATCCTAGCCACCACCTTTGCCAAACACACACTCTTGTATTTATAGCCTGTTAGGGTTTGTGTTCAGTGGTGTGTATCTGATGTGATAAAGCTGGTATATGCCAGGAGGGGTGTGTGTGTGTGTGTGTGTGTGTCCCCTGCTCATTGACGTGTAAAGCTACAATCTGGATGTCTGGCAGAGGGGACCTGCCTCACCGCCCACACACACACACCATTAACACTGTGATACACTCCTCATCTCGCACAGTTAACTGTGTTACTTCAGGTCTTTTTATATCCTCGGGCTCAGTCGGCCGGCTCGTTTAAGTCCGACACCGCCTAAATTAAAAACACCGGATTCTCTTACGTGGCTCTGCTGATGCTGGAAGGTGACAACAACCTGGAGCCGCTGATAAAAGGGAAGCTCTGCTGAGATGGGAATCATTTCTCCGGAGGCAACTCGGGCTGGGTTTCTGTTTGGAGCTGGTTTGAGTTTCAGCCCAGTATAAAATGATCAAACCACTACAGGGACCACTGGGTTTGGTGGTATTCTGTAGGTCTGCCTCCTTTATGTTAGGAGTTAAAGGCCAAGCCGTCCTTGAAGGACGGATGGCATCTGTTGCTTTATGTCACAACGTCCTCGCATCCTGTTAGCTCCTGGAGCAGCTGCTGAGAATGACTCTTATCTCAGCTCAATATCAATTATATTGGAGGTTATCCTCACTTTTTATTAGCTGAAGCAGATTAGCTGTGGCGGCCATCTTGAGTTGGGTTGACTCCAAAAGTGAAGCTGTTGTAGATTCAGATACTAGATGCTTCTCCTGTTGTGCAACTGGATAGACCACCTGTGGCTCTGACAGAGAAATGAAACAAATAATCACAAACGAGAGAATCAATAAGAAAAGCCATGAAGAGTAAAGTCCATGATGCAACAGTTAGTTTGTTGCTCTGTTTGACATAAATACACCCAAAGCCGTCGATTTTCTCAGATTTTTGGTCTGCTGATCTGACACTAAAAGATCCGACTCTTTTTTTTCCAGCACATGAACTCACCATTGCTAGGAGCTAATTTATGCTAGCGATAACAAGCCTTTCATGTGGGCATTTTTACTGCGTTGTTTTTATTAAGTTGAGCAAGACCAAAAAAAAATCTGTTGATTACGGTTATTTCAGATGAGCAGAGTCTGTGTCGGCAGATCAGCGCTGTCCAAGTCTAGCCCGGGAAGCCATCCACAGTTACCTTTGGCGTAGATACGTGTAGAGGCTTGGGCACAGCGCCTGGACCAATCAGAATAACAAATAACAGCGGTACAGTCCACCTAACCTTACACCGCCAAAGAGAAGAAGTACCTCTAGTGCTCGTCTCAGAAAAATTCCCAAATCGATGATTCCAAAGCCGTTTCAAACGAGCGCCATTCCTGAGCCGACGCCAGCTTTGTTTTGCTCCATCCGCCCAATAAGCATCGAGTGCTGTGATTGGCTGAATCTAAAGTTGTTCAGGCCAGTGGTAGACCTGCTGAGGCTGCAGCGGAGCACGTCTAGACCGACCTGCAGAGCTGCTGCTGCGGTTGGTTGGTTTTTAGGTTAGTTTAAATCAGAATTGGCCCACAAAGTCTAAATGAGTACATTTCTTTATTTACAAATGAAAGATTCTTTAAGAGGAGTTTTTAACAACCTCATGATGTTTATGTTTGTTCCACAGAGCCAAACTTCACGCTGAGCCTTAAAGCCACGCAGAAGCCCAGCAGGGCGTCTGAGCCCACAGAGCTGGTCTGTAATGTGACCGACATCACCCGGCTTCCTCCAGGAGGCAGACTGGCTGTCAGCTGGGAGCACGTCGGCCTTCCTGGTACTTCAGGTTTCTCTTTATGTAAAAAAGTGTGTTTTTCTCCACATTGACTGATTTTAATCCGATGGCTGGCTGGTAAAGGGAACGATGGCCCACATCAGATTGGCTACTTGGATGGAAACGGCAACGTGTTCCCAGGAAAAGACTACGACGACAAGCTGAAGAAGGGACTGATGTCTCTGAGCAGAAGCCAACCAAACACCTTCAAACTGCGATTCCTCAGCACTCAGGTGAGGAACCTTCTGATCGAAAAGCTTAGATTTTAAATCAAAATAATCCCAATTTGTGGGAAATTAGGCAGAGCTCAGACATGAAAGGCCTAATGGTTTTATCTGTACAGATTTCTGACATGGGCCAGTACGCGTGCGTCGTCTCCTCTTGGAGTGTGAGCAGCCAGGGCGACCTGGTCAAGACCTCCGAGTACAGAAGCTCACCTCTGACTGTGGAGTGGGACACCAAAAGTAGGCGTGGAAGTTTTGAGTGTTTGCTAGCTGATATTTAGACTTGAATAGAAACATGCAAGGCCAATTATTTCTGACAATCACAAACACCTGACTCAACCTGCCGGTTTCCAGCTCCCGCTCTGAATGTCGCTGCCAAGCGCATCCGTGAAGCCTCGGTGGGTGGAGCTACCTTTGAAATGAGCTGCACCGTTACCACAGAGAACCTCGCGGGTTGGACGAGCTACGCGGTGACCGTCGAATCGCAGGATGACCTGAAGAGCAACGTGAGAACAGTCATGTCTCTAAGCCCAGACAACGAGGTGCAGTACGGAGAGACGGACCCCAACAGGAGGTAGCGTCCTGAATTCTTTCCTGTGTCGTAGAAAAATATCACATGAAGCGCTTGGTGTCGGTCAAGATGGCTGCCGCATAGAGCTGCATGGTCTTACGATTGAGTATCAATTTGCCGAATTTTATTGGCCATTTGACGAGTCAGCCATCAAACTGTGCGTAATTAGCTACACATGTGAGAATAGTGTGTAGTACGTTTGACCAATAGTTGAAGGTTTTGTCCCAGAGTTGGGGATCCTTCACCTTCTTGTCAGGTGTCGATCAAAAGTCTGAAGCTGGTGTGATGATGCTAACGGAGGTTACGATGAAAATGTTGGAGATGCATCTGGAGCGAAGGCCTCGGGGGTTTCTCACGTTGGACTGTGGACAGTAGGGCTGTAGCAAAGCCTCGACGACGTCGACGGCTCGATTCTAAAAATTCGTCGACGTCAGATCCGGTAGTCGACGCACCGCGCCCACTTGTTGCATCCCCAGGAGTTTGTAAATAGAAGAGGAATCTGCCTGTTTTTCCTCTAGTTCACCCTCTTCTCCGCCTTCACTAACATCTCCGCCAAATACCGAAGACCCGGAACAATGTCCGTCCGCTACTAGATTCCTTTCCTGTTTTGCCCGCCTTCGTCTCCCGGCAACGGACAACAACTTCCGTGGTCAAATGTGCTGCTCCGTCTCTACCGCAGATGTAGAAAATCACCGGGAGCGTTTCTCCCTTCATAAGGGAGCTTCTTTCAGACATTAGGAGAGCTGTTTTGGTGGTATCAGTCTCTCCTCCGTGCTGGTCTGTTTGCTGCTGGGTGTTTTTGGTTTATTTAAACTTGGTAACTTGAACTTAACGTTGGTAAAGCTACTGTTAGCATTTTCACTAACAGCTTCTTGCGTTTGGATAAGCTGTTACGTTTTGGTTTAGAGTTAATCTTTTTTGTGGTGCAGATCTCCCTTTTATTACATCTAGAGTGTTGTGGGTTTTTGGTTTCGTTTAAGATATCACCTTGAGTTTGGTTTAACCTCCCAGTTTAGAGTTTGGACCTTTGGAGATTCTTATTTTGGTCCAGAACCCAGTAATCTTTGCCCAGTGGGACATCCCTAGTTATTTGTACTTTTGTTTTAATTCCCCACAGGTAGAATTTGTTTTATTATTCCCAACCTGTGGATGGAAAGATTTATGAGTTTTTGTATTTGTAAATAAACCTGATCATCATTTTAACTTTTAAATCCCGTTATTGTCCCTTCCTTTTTGCACACGAGCCAAACTCCCCAGGAAGAGTCGTAACACCACTCGCCTCCCGCACATAAGGGACCAAAACAAAGCAGCATGGAGACACTCCGTCTCTCCGACCACCTCTCAGGCAGCAGCCTGCACTCCCAAGTTCTACACGTCACCAGAACATAACCAACCAACACAATAAAAGCAGTGTTATACAAAATGGAAGGCCCGTAGTGTTTATTCTCTTACAGTAACAATTTATCAATTTTTTTGAGGAATTTATTAGAGATTTTTTTGGTTTTTATTAACTGTGCAATAGAAAAATAATCATTAGATTAACTATCTAAATAGTCATTAGAATAGTCGACTATTCGATAAAATAATCGTCAGAATAATCGTTTTAAAAATAATCGTTTACCCCCAGCCCTAGTGGACAGAATACTAACCTTTACTGGAGGACATTAATGAGGATTTAGAAAGTCCATTTTGTTCTAGATGGTTCTGTTAATGATGGGAGGCTTTGAACGGTGAGTTAGACGTTTGTGTTTGACCAAAAGGTTAGGGTTAGACCAAAGTGTTTATTTGTGTCTGAAGTTATCATTGTTGCAAAAGTACGTAAAACACCATAGGTTCGTACCAGGGTTGGTATGTAGGTTTTAATGTTGCTGCATGTATCCCACGGTTAGTAGGGATGTCCTACGACGATATCGATGTTGCAGCCTACAACGTTGACCGATACTGATATCAATCTGAAATGATATCAGCACAAATCATACATACTTTTACCTATTTTGTAGTGTGGAATGTATTAAAAGTTTGAGCATGTGATATCACTAAATTGGAGAACAAGAGCCAATAATATTAAGTATGAAAAGACAATTTTTTTCTTAACCATTGGTTGCAAAAATGTGAATCTTAACGGACTGCTTATATCAGAGGTTTTAGATGCCGTCCAATATAATCCAATACACTGTTTTTGGGCCGATATCTAATTACTTCCGATATCGATATTGGAACGGGACATCCCTAACAGTTGGAAAAAACCACAGTGGGATTATTTTCCAATACCGTGGAGTTCTACCGCTACACTACCCGGTCCCGTTCGCTCCTACTGAGCTGTGATTTGGTTTCTCCGTCTGTTCACTCAGAGACAGCGTGGTTCTGACCAAGTCCGGCCCGGCAGAGTTCCGGTTTCGTCTGGCCGGTGTCCAGCTCTCCGATAGAGGTTTCTACTGGTGCAACGTCACCGCTTTCACCAAACAGCAGCTAGAACAGACCTGGACGAGAGCCGCCCAGTCCCAATCCAACACGGTCAAGATCGACTTCCAAGAAAACGGTGAGTTTGTGTTTCCGTGGTTTCCGTTTACTCGTCGGTAAGTCAAAAATCAAATCAGAGATGAGATAAGGCATGTCAGGTCTTCCTTTCTCTCCCCTAAAAAGGTCAGTTTAAACTCTTTGGTTTTACTCAACCTCGTTTACTGAATAAAATAAACGCTAAAACAAAAGTTCATGTATTATTCAAAGCTGCTTTATAGTTCTTGAACGGTTTTCTTTTCTAAACAAATACATGTGATTAAGTTAAGGCTAATTGTCCTTGAAGTCTTCAGATAAGGACCTATAAATAGAAATGTGTAATCCACACCTCCTCCCTCGACTCAACTTCAATAAACAGTAAGAAGAAGCTCTTAATAATGTGCAGAAACACACACACACACACACACACACACACACCTAAGCCCTTTGACGCCCACCACAAACACTCACCTACTTACAGTCTTTGATCTGAGAAGTGGGAGACGGGGGGGGGGGGGGGGAGGAAACAAGTGGCAGGAGATGAGGAAGAAGAGACGTGATGACGTCAGAGAGGGAAAGGAGAGGAAAGAGTTAAAAAAGAGCATAAAATGTTGCAGAATATTAAAAGCTGCAGGATTAGGAGGACTTTAGAGGAGGTGATGCAAAGCTTCAGGTTATGAATGAGCTCCTGCCCTTGGAGGCGGGGCTCAAGTGTCTAACTGGTGAAGGTAGAATGAAACAGGAAGTTAAAAGAGGATAATGGTGAACAGGGTAGGGTTGGCTTTCTAACTGAGCCGTGGTCTGGATCTGTAGTCCAGATCCCAGGTCATGACCATAGCCTTGGTCTGGGTCCAGATGAGCAGTCTGGAACCCTGGTCCTGGGGGGGGGGGGGGGGGGGGGGTGGGGGGGGGGGGGGGTGAGTCTGAGTGTGAGAATGCTTCAGGACATTTGTTAGCAGGATTAAAGCAATGGAATATAAAATTTCCATAGAACAAGATCACCCATTTCTGGCCCAAGCTCACGGATGCTCATATCCTGATTTTGTTTCTCACGGTTGCTGAAGGCACGTTTTAAATGATCTGGAGAGGCTTGTAGGAGGCAAAGATGCTTAAAGGCTGTAGGAGTGAAGCGGTGGTGACGAAAGAGAAAACCACGACTGGCCAGAATAAAACGTGTAGAGAAACAAGGAGACAAAATGAGGACTGTCTTTTGTCCTTTCCTTACTGAAGGTAGGAGGCCTTCAGCACCACATCGTTTTGCCACCATCCTCTACCTCTATCATTTCTTCTCTCTGGGACATCTTCAAAGTGAAGCCTTTTGGCTTATCAGCCAGCAGCGAAGATCTGCACCGCTGCCTTCTGTTTCCTTCTCCTCGCTCTTAAACCTGTGATCCTTCAAGTCCTTAGGAGTGTGTCCAAGTTGAGTTTTCATATGTGTGTGTAAGTGTGAGTGAGTGAGTGAGTGAGTGAGTGAGTGAGTGAGTGAGTGAGTGAGTGAGTGAGTGAGTGAGAGAGAGATCTAAGCTCATCCTCTAACTGGCAGCCTCTCGATCCTGCAGCTGTTAGCCTGAATGTTTCAGAGGTTTCTCGGCCTGTTTCGGGATCTTTTGCCATATTTTCTGTAAAATAATTTATCATTCAGGTGATTATTATCCTTTTTTTCCCAGTGGAACGTCCACAGGGTAAGCCGTCATGTTTGGACAGGATTTAGGCCAACATGGATGCAGGCTAAACTGAATCTCCCTCATCACTTTATCTTTTAGAAGCTTCATCCATGCGCACATCTGTCGGTTTTATTCTGGTATGCATTCTTGTCTTTCTGACCTAACCTGAGTAGATGTGTCTGGGAAGTCCGAAGGTCACAGGGGAAAAGTGGGAAACTCTTGGGCAATTTAACCACTCTGTTGATTTGGATCCACCTTATGAATTTATTCATTAAAGTTCTGTTTTTTTTTTTTCTTTTACACAAATGATAATTTTGGAGTACACCAGTTTCACGGTCCAAGGAAAGCAGTTGGTTGAGTCGCCCATCTGCCTGTCCGCCACTCCATCTGTCTCCAGCACTCGAGTTGCAGAGCAAATTATTAGGAGTCTGGACAAGGATGGTGGTGATTTTCCACCCGGCCTCCTCTCCAGCTCCACTTGGATGTTGGTGAAGATGGTGATGACCAGTGAGACATGTGGTCTAAGCGTTTGGCTGTTAAATACATCTTCCTACTGAAGGCCATCTAATGTCCGCAGAGTGCACGATGGAACCGTGCTGCTGGCTGCCGTCTGTTTTCATAATATTGAGCATTAACGGGTTTCAGACCTTTCACCTGACTAGGGGACTAGTTAGGAGGAGGAGCCACACAAACACTCTTAAACTGCATCAGTAGCCGTGCTGTTGGTTGAACCGTACTACGCCACCTGCAGTACCCATTTTCCCCATCTACTGGGGAAATAACACAGCTGAAGGAACAACTTCAGAAGAAGAGTTTACAGGAAGTACACTCTTCACAACTTTAACTAAAATTTCAACTTATCTCAATTTATCCTATTTTTTTCTCTAATATTTTGCTTTTTTGCATCTGCAACTAAATTTAGACGGGTTCCAGATGCTTTCCAGAAGTTTTTTTTTTTTCAGAGAAAATGTGTTTCACTAATTTTTGGGGGAAGATGATAAACAACTCAAGAAAAATTACGTTAAAACTACGACAAATCTCCAAAGAAAGGTCATTTAAAACATGTCTCTTAAAGGTGTGGATTACTTGTTTAATCAACACATTTGCCGTGGTCTCTAGAGGGAACGAATGCCTTACCCCAAAATTCCACTACCTCCGCTCCACCCCTTCCGCAGCCACTCACTTCCGAACTCAATTTTTACTGGTACCCGCTCTACAACGGCTCTGCTCTGGTGCGGAGACCTGAGGTGCGCAAACAAGCATGCGCGGGATTTTCGAGATCTTGCGATACAGTCCGAGCAATAAACGCGGAAGTTAGATCCAAACACCCGTTGTGTGGGAGAAGCATCGAAATGAACTGTTTAATCTGCCCATCATTTGTGTTGAGAGATCTGCAGTGTTTGGATCAGGTTTGGATCAAAAAGGGCGACTACTTTGATAGTAGAAACTGTATTTATGGCTTGTTTTTGTGCATTTAAAGTTCAACCGCCATTGGTAGTTGTTAAAAGTTGTTAAACCTGTGCATATGAAACAAAAAACGCTTTTTGTTTATCGATTTATTGTGAAATAACGGAAGTTGTGCTTGCTCCCTTTCCTGTTAGGCGGTTGTGATTTCTGTCCATTGACTGCGGAGGTGCTCCGGCGTCCGGCAAAAATAGAATCGATCCTATTTTTGCCGGATGGCGGGCGGCGCACGGCGCCTCATGGCCGCAGGAGTCGAACAGCTCTGATTGACTACAACAGGACCGTTTTTGTTGCGGAGTTCGTGCCGGAGCGGAGGTAGTGGAATTTTGGGGTTAGAAGCAGAACTCGGGGCACAAAAAAGCCCCAAACCCCCGGCCTCAGCAGGCCATCTCTGTGACATCACTCTGTGACATCACAGCTCCGCTTGGTCTTATTTCCTGATTGGCTAACAGCCAAGCGACTCTACCACTGACTTGTAACGTTGATGATCTCCAAAAAAATAACACAAGCCTGGAGGAGTTCTGCTGTGTGGTGGAGTTGCTAATGCTAACAGTTAGCTTGTACTAGCTGAGACGCTAAACCAACAACAGCCTTCCCCGTCGTGAGTAAGATGGGTGAGTCCATGAATGTTAAGTGACAGTGTGACGTAGATCTGTCAGGACTTTCTATCCTAGAGTTTCACCGTCTGTTATCCATTTGGAGCTAATGCTGATGCTAGGTGTAGGAGACTATTTTCATGTTCAGCCTGCATGAAACACTCATTAGACCCATTAGAATCAGAGATAATCATTAAAAATGTTTTTTTCAGTCAACAACACCTTTAACTCATTCACTGCCAATGACGAGTCGCCATTTATGTATTTTTACTGTGTGGGCATCGGAACAAGCCCCCGCATCGTGAGAACAAACATCTCGGCTCTAAAGCCGATCTCCCTCCGCATACATCACATGTCATGTGATCAGGAAGCAGAAAATCCATGTGCTAGGAGATAATTTTGGGCCGCTGCTGTAAAAAAAGGGAGGTATGAACCGGAAAAGCTTCTGCCGATCACAATTCAACAACGGATTATGAAAGAACAGATAACGCTCGAAACGCGCAGATTCTTCCTGATGTAAGAGGTGAGTCTCCGCTTTGTTTTGGTTGTTTTGGCATCAGCATCATCCTAGCGCGCAAAGTTCTATGGCTCTTAAAAAAAACGTAAAAACGGTGAGAAACGCTGGCAGCGAATGAGTTAACAACATGCTAACGTAGGATACCTATAAATATATTGAGAGAAAATTAAGAGGTTCTCTCACATTTGCATAAAAACCTCAGCCAATAACACGTTCTGGACCGAAAGCGCACTTCACTGGATCCTCCACATATCACACACTCACATATTCAGCAGCCAAACACCACTGGTGTGAGAGGCTCTCCACTCAGTAACATCAGAGGAGAAACAGCCGGCTGCTACCACTTCAGCGTTAGGACAAACTACCAGATTCCCAAAAAGAACAACACCATCTGAATCACTGAAAACTTTCGGACCTAGAAAACAGGAACTGGTGTTTAGCGCTAGCTCGTTTCCTCTTACAATGCCGTTCCTATATCAAGTGGGCGTGGCCTAGGGACGAGAGCCTACAGGGAACAGGGAGAGATCCGTGATTGTGTTTGGAAGCTAGCTTGTTCAGCTGGTTTGCTGTTGCAGCTGTAGATGTTGGATGTCTTCATGACGGCTTTCCCTCTGAACCTTTAAGCTGCTTTCCTCAAATATGGATATTTGGCTTTGGTTTAATTTCTCAGGTACAAGTTAAAGAATGAACAGTTCATCTAAAAGAAAAGGCTCCAGCTGGGGTTGGAACCCTGATCCTGTGAGGTCCAGAGAGGAACGACTGAACAAACAGAAACCTAAGCTTGTCACAACTTCACCGCCTTTCGGTGGAAGGATTTTCACCGTGGGCCACGAAGGTTTTTCACACATTTTAATGGGATTCTGGTCCGACGTTGGCTGCACTCCCTCTCCTCCCACTGGGAATATCCACTTGAAACACACGGCATGCAAAACCCTAATAAATGATTTACAGGAGAATAAGTCAAATGGAGCCTGAAGCCATGGGAGGGCTGAGGGTGATTATCAGGATCTGATTCAGTCTGGACCGTCTAACTCCAGTTTTGTCCTCCGTCTGTTTTCTTCTCCTCCATGTTGGTTTCTGCGTATCAGATAAATCCGGCCTGTGCCTTTTAAAGCTGCTGTTTACTCCTGAAACCTTCTTTCCTCGGGGAAACGTAGCTGAATGAGTTTATTTAGGCCTTTAAACGAGTCTTTTTGATCCCACTCCTCTCCCTCTGATGTGTTTTGTCCTGCTGGAAGACGAGCCGATCTGATCCGTTGCGTTGGTGTTGCAGGCCCGTCCTTCGCCATCGCCATCCGCTCGGACGCCAGCAGCGTTTATCCGTGGGAAACGGCCAAGATCGAGTGTTCGCTCAGCATCTCTGGATCCTCACCAAAAACTGGTATGGCACACACACATGCATCAACACACACACACACACACGCACATGCATCAACACACACACACACACACGCACATGCATCAACACTCACACACACACAAATACATGCACGCACATGCATCAACACACACACACACACACACACACACACACGCATCAACACACACACACACACACACACACACACAAATACATGCATGCACACGCATCAACACACACACACTCACACACTCACACACACACACACACACACACACACACACACACACACACACACAAATACATGCACGCACATGCATCAACACACACACACACAAATACATGCGTGCACATGCATCAACACACACACACACACACACACACACACACACACAAATACATGCATGCACATGCATCAACACACACACACACACACAAATACATGCATGCACATGCATCAACACACACACACACACACACACACACACACACACACACACACACAAATACATGCATGCACATGCATCAACACACACACACACACACACACACACACACACACACACAGTAATCACAAGCAGTTCCTTTTCCCACTTTTTGCATTTTATTTTCATCAAGAAATTCAGTTTCCGTCTCATGTTTACCTTTTTACTCGTGTTTCACCTGAACTCGTCAGCAGCTCTGCTCCACTAGATCCTTCTCTCTCTCTCTCTCTCTCTCTCTCTCTCTCTCTCTCTCTCTCTCTCTCTCTCTCTCTCTCTCTCTCTCTCTCTCTCTCTCTCTCTCTCTCTCTCTCTCTCTCTCTCTCTCTCTCTCTCTCTCTCTCTCTCTCTCTCTCTCTCTCTCTCTCTGTTTCTCTCTCTCTCTGTTTATCTCTCTCTCTCTCTCTCTCCAACACTAGGCTTGTACTTGGGTAGTGAAAGGTTTCAGAAACAGAACTGGGAGAAGGTGCTGAGAAAGGTGGAGGCGCGGTTGTCTAAATGGAAATGGCTTCTCCCTCAGCTGCCCTACAGGGGCAGGGTTCTGATAGCAAACAACCTGGTCGCCTCATTTCTGTGGCACAAACTGATTGTACTGGTTCCACCACCGGGTCTGCTGGAAGGTGTTCAGAAGCTGTTGGTGAAATTCTTCTGGTCCGGTCACCACTGGATCAGAGCTTCGGCTCTTTGCCTAACCGTGTCAGAGGGAGGACAAGGACTAATAGACGTGGGGTCTAGAACTGCAGCCTTCAGGTTACAGACAGCTCAGAAGCTTCTTTATGGTGACAGACTCTGCTGGCTCCCCCTGGCTTGTCTCCTGCTGCAGAAGGTTGGTGGGTTTGGGCTGAACAAACACCTGTTCCTGTTGAATCGGAAGGTGTTGGCTCTCACAAGGATTAGTCCGTTGAGACTTGTACTCTATCTGCCCAATGGGATGATGACAGTGAGTAAGTTTTTCCATCTCTGGAGGTTAAAACAGCTGGTGAGGGTTGGCAGGAAGAGAGTGGATCACTGCTGAACCTGAACACTCCAGTGTTGGGCTCCTTCCAGTCTTGTGGGAAGAAACAGATCTATCACACTTGTGTGAAAGTTATCAATAGGCGCCCTTTGTTAGGAGTCGAGGTGGACTCGGGCGTTTGCTGCGGACCGTGCCCCTGGGGGCAGCTGGAGGAGTTTGTATAAGTCTCCAGTGGAAAATAGGATGGCAGACCTCCAGTGGAGGGTCATACATGGAGCTTTAGCTACGAACAGACACAGGGCCTGCTTTGATCCAAGCACCGGGGAGGGATGTCCTTTCTGTAACCAAACAGACCACAGAGCATCTAGTGGTAGCATGTTCTAGGTTATCAGGGATGTTTAAGGTTTTAGAACGGTGGGTTATTGCACTGGGGGAGGCTTTTACCCTACCCTTATTCGTTTTCGGGCCCAAGTACAATGTCAGAAAAAACGGACAATATTGTTAATTAACTTTTTATTTGCATGTGCAAAACTAGCCATCTGGAAAACCAGGAAAAACCAGATGCTGGGACAGAGCTGGACTGATGCTGAGCGGAGCCTGAAGGGCCTGGTGGAAGCTCGCTTAAAGATCCAACACACTTTTTATGAACTTACTGGGAACCTGGACTTCTTCAGAGCGGTGTGGGGGATCGGGCAGGTGCTCTGTCTGCTGAATGGACAGGGCTCCATAAAGATCAACTTCTAAACTGTGGGTTTAGCAGTTTTCCTAGTTTTATTAGTGAAAAACAAGCTTCAGTCATTAACGCTGATTGTTGATTTGTAAAGAAAAATAAATTATTTAAAAGTCTCTCTCTCTCTCTCTCTCTCTCTGCCCCCCCCCCCCCCCCCCCCCCCGTTTCTCTCTGCTGTACCACGTTCATCCCAGCTATTCTTCTTTTCTGCTGCCAGATAATTTCTTTAATCAGAAACTAAAACTGAATCTGAACCAGAAATAAAATCATTTTAGGATCAAAGCGGTTTTCTATATGATCACAGAGATTGTGGCTGTCAGCAGCTTGGTTTATTTATCTGCTGCTTATTTGTTCTTTTATTTAGTGTGTGATATTTTTACCTGTTTACTATAAATCCTGTTTCCAGTTCACAAACTTGTCCTTATTCATTATCATTTCTCACCAACATCAGTTCTAATTATTCCTCTCAACTTGAAATTTTACATTTTTAAATACATAAACTGTGGTCGACGCTTCATGGTCATCCACCATCTTGAAATACAGTAGCTGTTGAGGGACATACGAGCTCCGCTTGGTGTGTTTGGACTGTGACCAGCCACACCGTTGCCGTACTTGGTAGTCTGAATAATAAACAATGAAATCGAAAAGTCGTCATCATGTCCGGAAGCCGTATATGTTCAGATCCCTGCCCACTATTAGCTGGACACCACCCTCCGAGTGGTGTCCCCCCGACTCCCTAACTCAACTCGAGTTGCTCATTCGTCTTTTCTTCCTACTAGAACTCCAATCCCTCCCAACACGTCAGACCCAAAGTCTCCTCTCTTCTGTGCGTTTGTTCTGTTCGTTCCTGCCGCCTCCCACACTCCAGCGCTCAAATTTTATATTCTGTAAAATGTATTTAGAAGAAGCTAGTTTGTGTTTTAAACTGTTGAAAACAAACTGATTCCTTACTTGTTGAAATGTTGAATCAGTTTGGAGGAACAGATTAGTTCTGACCAGATTGATAGGCTAAAAGCTAGTCCTCATGGTCCTAAGGCTGAAGTAGATTAGTGCCATCCTAAAATAATTCGAAATGTTCATGTGAACACTATTTTATAAACCTTTACGTCTGTGTAACCTGTAGAATTTTGTGTTTGCTAACACCGTTAGCAGCAGTAGCTAGCTGTAGCATCACTGTTAGCAGCAGTAGCTAGCTGTAGCATCTCCTGCACCGACTGGGTAACTCCAACCAGATTATCAGAAAGTTTGTTTCTGCATTATCTAAGATGCTTGTATCCCGGTCTGACTCACTTGTTGACATTAGCATTAGCCTGCTGTTAGCTTATTTAGGATCTCTGTCACTGTGAGAAACAGTAACTAAAGATCTAGAGAGAAGGGGAGAATAACTGTAGGAGTACAAGTTAAGAGTTGGTAATTAAACTAGACTGAGATTAAAGTTCCTGATAGATGAATAAATCGGATAGTGAAACATGATCATGGTGAGGTTATCAGAAATCAGCAGAATAGAACAGTTCTCTTCCTCATGACTCCAGCCTCTAAAGCATGACGTCATGTGTGCCTCCACACCACCCCCTGTCCATCTGTCACCAATGTGCCGCTTCCTTCTTCCTTTGCATCGTGTTTTACTTTAACTCTGTTGGAATATTAAAGTATTTCTGCAATCGTTCAGTTGCATGTGATGGATGTCACTCTGCAAACACCTCCCCTTGCTCCTGTGCCTTTGCTGGGTGTATGGGTTGTGCCTATGTGCAAACATAATAATGCATGTTGCCTCATAGCAGGGGGAAGCTGCAGGGCTCAGTGTGTCGGTGGCTGTGAAGTGTGTGTTCACAAACAGCTGCTCCAGGGACGGAGGGGGAACGGCGTTTCTCCTTCATTCTGCATTACTTCAGGTTTATTACAGTTCTGCTTGCCTCTCTAGTCTGTTGTTAACCTGCTGTGGTTCTTCTACAACTCTTTAGGTTCATGATGGTTATCAGCAAGCATAAAAATGTCGCTGGATTTAACAGATGGTGAGCTATAATCTGGTGTGATGGTTGCTAGGTGTGTACTAGCAAGAATCTGATGATACGATATTTATCTAAATGCAGGGACAACGATACGATTTATCGCAAATCTAAAAGCCAGACGATAGTGAGAGTTTTCTTTAAATATAGCTTTTTTTTAACTCTGGTCAGATGCTTCCTTGACACGTCCAGAGTTATCGCAAGATCTCGTTGTTCCATCAGCATGAAGGTAATAAAAACTGCTGCCACCTAGCAGTCGGAGGTTGGATTGCTCCACACAAAAGAAATATAGTAAATGTTTGCATGTAAATTCTCAGTAGAAATCAAAACAAAGCTTTTAAATATAATTTTAGCATCATAACGGTAAAGCCGTGGGGTATTCCTGTATCAATTTGACTAAAACAGCTGCAACTCATTGGTTTGTGTTTTCAAAGATTTAATGAATTTCACTCCAGCCTGGCAAGTCATCCTATACATGAGAATATATAGTCTGGCCAGGATCCATCAGCAGTCGTGGGGCGGGATCTGTGTTGTCTTTCTAAACGTCTCCACGTGATGCTGGATAACAAACAACATGACCCACTCACCATTATGGATGTCGGTCAGTGAGGCTGTCCCGTTCCTACGTCAGAGGCTCAAATACAACCGTCTCTAAATTATCGTAAGTATTTCTATTTGCTCTTGACTCGAAGAAAAACCCAAGTCTAAATAGTCCAAAGCCGTTTTCAATGAGTCGTTGCCGTCTTTGATGTTTCAGTAACATCCCACCCACTAAGTGCTGTGATTGGTCCACCAAACCAATAGAGTGCTGTGATTGGACCACTACAGATGTCAGTCAACGGGGCGGT